CCTAGCGGTGACTGAGTGGCACTGATATCACTCGCGGCCCGTGTTTTCATGATCAGCGGATGAGTGCAACCAAGCCTCAGTCAATTTAAATTAGTTGGCAGTTCATTTTGAGAAGAGTACGATCATTCTTAACTAGCATGGTTCGGTCAGTCTGGAGTACACAGAAGGCAGAACAAAGGCTTAAACGGCAGGATCGGGATCTAATTAGTCATAGGAAGGGTTCTGCTTAATTATACTTGGTCCATTTATAACCGTGCCTAGGCTAGCCGGCTTCGATGGATCGATTAGCAAGTGCAGACCTTTCTACACCTCAAGCTTGAATGGTCATAAACAGCCACACCATCTTGCAGCGAGTGCTGACCGTTTCGTTCAGCTGAATGAGTGACTGCAATCCAGTGGAACGGTTGGGGGGCTTTTTGATATCCGTAACTTGTGCAATGAGGGGATACTTAGAGGGCTTGTTCGCAGCGATGATTTCTGCAGGCATGCGACCGCTTCAGTAACTCGCCATCGACGGACGTGAATGCTACAGCGAGGTCAGCAGTGCACGCGACCGTTTGTTTCAAAGTTAAAGGGTTAGCCATAGCACAAATTTGATTTCGGTAGATCCATACCGCGGCTTAGCTGTATCTTGTCCTACAGTCATTAACAATACGGAATTGAGAATGCCAATGACTCGCGGGGCTTGCAGACAAGAGAGACCCCACTAACGGTGAATTGACCGCGGATCTTTGTTAGCAATGCTTCGATTCGTGAAAATGCAGGGATGCTTGTACAGAAAAGTTTGCCAGATGACTGGGCGGACGGGTTTAAATAAGATTATTTGCACGTTGCAGAGGCAAGTAGGGTAAACTAGTGTGAACAGGTGGAGTCCTTTAATCATGGACGATTTCGAAATTCACATCCTGATTTTAACGCGTGCTGTCTAGCTTGATAAACTTTAACTCTCAAACTACGCAAATAGATGCACTTTATGCTGACCGTATATAATAACACTTAAAATTTCACGTGTACATCGAAAAGTCCGCCTGCCGCACCCGCGTCCCACACTGCAAAATATTTCCATAAACAAATATGTTACTGGTAAAATGTTAGCAAGGTGTGCATTGAGCATTTACATCGTGGGTGTCGTATTCAATAGCCTCCTCAAGGGCATCGCCTATTACCCTATAATATGCTATATATAATTCGATTATCGAAATTATGAGGAATCGTCCCACAGGAGACAGATTCAGCTGGTATGTCTTCCAACGTCGGCACAGGCATCTTAGAAGACCTCGCTCACAGTACGTCGCAGTCAAGAGAAGTAATATAGCTTCAAAGCATGGCGCTGGACGCTTAAAGGTGAGACCTATTACGTAACCTGACCGTCAGTCTGAGCATGTGCCTATTGTAGCTTTAATTTAAAGTACTTCAGGTTATACAGGCTCCGCCTGGAGTCATTACTTTATTTCTCTATTGACAGGAGGGAGAGAATCTTGGGAATGCACCTTCACCACCCTGGCTGAAATGTGTCCTTCATGCAGCAGTTTAGTCGTTCATAGATTCGTACGCGTCACATCAGCATATAACTAGGCCTCCTCGACCGGACAATGTCGTATGGATACCCGCAATCAGAATGCAGCACGAGGCCCCCCTACCCGGCCTGTCGCTGACTTCTGGAGACAGAGACTCCAATGTAAGGAAAAGCTGGCATGGTCGCTGAGGGAATTTGGATAAAACTTGCGCCCGGGATGGAAATTCTGGCGCACTGACCACATTCCGAATTAAAGTCTGATTACAATCGGCGGCGTTGCTGAGTCGACCTTGTCAATTTTGATTATTTCAGTGGCAAAGCGAACTGCACTGCATTTTCTAACACTCAAGCCGAACCTCGCGATATTTAGGACGGGTAATTTTATCGGTACGACACCCTGCGTAAGTGGAGCTTTGGGGCGTTGAGAAGCACAACTCGGCTTCAAAAGTGTAAGAGTTCGCTGTGTTTCTTATCGGGATGGCTCTTCCACTTTCTGTGATAATAGAATTCACAGTATTTGCGCTTCTTAGTATAGTATACTACACTTGGGGTAAATAGGCTATGTCCTTGATGAACTTATTGAAAATTGTTCATACCATGTTAATGTTAAATAAACATGTTACTAGGATGTTGCCAGTAACATAATTATTTACAAAAACAATTTGACAAAGGGGAACTGTAACCCGAAAACGAGCAGTTTTTGAAAGGTACGCGCCGAGCGGCAGATAGTCCTTTTCATGTACATTTGAGATTATAAGTGCAATTATACACAATCAGGACAAAATATGGTCATTTGTTTAGTTTGAGGGAGAAAATTGCTCCATGCTTGCAGGGATACGTTACGTAGGGAATGTAATCAGAAAATAAAGTCCATGGCTGACCGCAGATAGTCCTGCAGACAGAGCTGCCCTTTATCAAAAATCAAGTGATCCAACTGCCTTTTGAATACCAGCAGTGTGTCAGATGTCGGCATTTCGCTCGGAAGTGAGTTCCACGGCCAAACTACACGCTGACTGAATGGAAACTGTCGATGGTCTGGGCGTGAATTCTCCTGTTTGGTCTTGTACGGATAATTGAGCATGTAACGCATGGTCATGAAGTCAAAAGAACCCTCAGATCCGAGCGAAAAATCACGCTCGCGGATAATGGGGAATGTCCATAGCAAGTCTCACCTCATTTATCCATAGGATATGGGGAACAAATTAAGCTGGATCACTATTTCCGGATATGCCAGAGTCCTGATTCTGTTCACTCGTTTTGTCGTCCATCGTCGCCCCTGCTCTATGGCGTCACAGCCCTCCTTCATCCAGTACATCCATGCTGGCATTCCGTATCCAAAATGCGGTCTGAACAACGTATCGAATATCTGCTCGAAGTGTTCGAGAGGAAAGACTACGAATGCACGCCTAATCCACTGCATGATTCTGTTTGCCTTTTGGACGGCTCTTTAGCAGTGTTAAGGGGTCAGCAATTTTGAACTTTTCCGGACACCTAAGTCTTTGTGCTTGTCCAGTCCTTTTATTGGAACCTCTTTTATGGTATGATGGCGTTTGGGAAGCGCCTCCGATCGGATTCTAGGCGCAAGACTACGCATGTAGACAGAGTAAACGATGGAAGCCACATGCTGGACAATGTCACCAACTTATCTACACCTTCCTGTAGTTTCTCCGAGTCGTCAACAAAGCTGATCATTTTCCAGATCCTTATGTCATCTGCAAACCTGATGGCATCGCACTAAGAATCTGCAGTAGCCGGTTACATAGATGAGGAATAGGAGAGGACCAAGACTGAACCCTGCGGCACGCCGCTTTCTACAGTGGCAACAATAATTTATCTTGGGAGCCCTCATGTTGCACCGTATCCCACACTCCCAAATCTTGGACGCTACCATGAGATATCTGCGTCACTGCGTACTCAATCTGCAGATTTATAGGTATGCTATGTTGGTTCTCACTCGGACATCCACTTTACGGTACTTTTTCGTCCTCCAGTTTCTTTTCGTCTGCTTAACCGCAGGTTTTGTTTTTTTCGGTCCCAGAAAACATTTTATTGCTGGACTCGACAGACTGGTCGATAAATTTGTTTCTAGTAAATTTTTTGCGAAGCCTACACAATCGTACATTGGGCACACCGGGAAGTTTAAAGAGGAAGAAAATCTGGCTAAGAACGCTGAAATGTCGAATTGCCCTTTGGGTCTGGTTGACAAGTTGGAGACCACAACGACCGTAATGCCCTAGGCCATGACGGCAGGACAGAGGGCACTAAGTGGACCGCCGCCGTTCCCGTCGCAGCCACCAGGCCGCGGTTTGATGGCATTCCGTAGACTATCTAGTGAGATTCACCGACGCTCATTCAATGACCGTTGCCAAGTGGGTGGATACTCTAGCACCTGCATTCCCATCCTCTAAAATAAGCGCTGAATCGCTCGACCAATGTAGCCTGCTCTTCGGGATCCAACGAAGTAGTAAACATGCGCAAACGTAGTCCAGCCTGACTAACTTTCCTCTGGTAGTAGAAAAGGAACCGTAGACAATGTAACCCGGTGTTTCGCGACAAAGAGCGCATTTTAAAAGGTCTGAGGTATCTGTCTCTGAAGTAGAGCGTCGAGTAAGTCAGTTTGAATAAGCAGTCCTACAGAACATCTCTCCCTAACAGTGACGTCCATGGCTGTTCCTTTGCTTTCTTAAATGGCCTTGCTTTTGAATGTTTCCAGGTTTATATTTCATATGTGAGGGACAAAGTCATCTACGTCTGAGTGTTAAACTACGGATGAGGCGTAGCTCCCAAATGAGGGGCACAGAAGCATTGGCGCTGACGTACTGCCTTTGAGAGAGCACCGGCCTTAAGTTCAACTTGATAAAGATTACTTATTACTCCCAATATAGATTACTAGCTAAAAGCGTATTAAAGTGTTCGATCATCATCAGAATGTGCGTCAAAACACTAAGCTGATGGAAGAATTGTTTCTAACCGACTTTCCTCCTACAAATACCAACTTTTAGGCGACCGGAAGCCCTCACACCATCCAGTAGTGTAACATGTCAACTCAGACTCTCCTTCCACCTCCCAATGCAGAAAACATTCCGAACCGTCCACACGGGGAGATTAAATCAATTTTAAAAATTTCACTTGGACGATAACTTGCTACATAACTGGCGAGAATCAACAGATAGCCCACGGCTGCCTGACAGTCCCCGATGTTAGACATCCTGCTGCTTAGGCCATTGTGTTCTGTGAGAAGCTTCTGGACCACAAAACGGAGGTATTGTGGTGGGGTTACATGTTTTTCCCGACCGGGGTGGTATGCGTCAGAAACTTCCATACTCACACAGCTACACAAGAAAGCAAACAAATTTAAGGCGACTAATGAGGAAATGAAGCAAAAGTTATTCTAAAAATCAGTTCTGTACAAGAGGAAAGCTAGTTGGACTGATTAAATTGGACAATATGTGTAGGAAATTTTGGTAGCCGACGTGGCCACAAGTCATTTGCGACGTTTGAGGGGTGACAGGCTGCGCAGGCGGTTGACAGTGCGTTGACGCGAGGCTCTTAACCGCCCATTCAGACGACTGCGTGTGAGAGCGGTGCCCTCGCGGGCCAGATTCCTTAGGCGATCCTTCTCGGCTAACGGGGGGATACGACCGGTAGCGCGCAAATAGTGTACAATGATCCGGGTAAGCCAGAGTGTAAAGAGATAGCGCAGCGGAGTGACAGTCTTGTAGAGCAGATAGGCCGAGGCCCAGGTGCCGACGGCGCCACCCGCCATCTGAAAGGGCTTAAGCATCCAGTCCGGGGCCTGCAGGCTCTCCAAAAGCGTGCCGGCATTGAATCCACTAGGGTAAAGAATGTCATACTATTAGCATCAATTGAGTAGGCACTTTATTTTAGTAAATTAAATTGAAATTCCCGTTACCAGCTGGACGTTTGTAAATACACAGAAAGCTGGAGAGAAAAAGAAAACATATAGACCTAGCATTTAAACTCCTAAAGAGAATGAGGATGAGGTCAGGGGAATGATCGTGACTGACAACGACAGGAGGTCGCAAGTCAAGCACACAGACTGAAGCGGTTGCCGTCGGGACGTAGGTAACAAGAATGTGCATAAATGCATATTGAACTGCCGTGTCTCGGTCGCCCATGTCGAGCACACGGAATAAATCAGTTGATATCGGGACAAAAAATGTGAAGAAGACGTGTCTAGGCCACCCTATTTTGGGCCGAAGCTGGCAATCATCTTGAGCTTTGACCTGGTCACGCTCTACCATTTCTAGAGCAACAGTCAGGTCAGCAACGTCTAAAATAGTAGGTGAACTCGGAGCGCCACGGTCATCAGGTGAAGTCCCGATTAGAAGGAGAAGACCGAGAACAACCGAATGGTTTTATTGTGCACATAGAACAGTGAGTGTCAGTATAGGGCGGCAGTGGTTACTGGCGAGGCCTGTGTGTGTGCTGACAAGATTCAAGACACGGAGGTCCTGGTATGGGCTAGAATTCTCAGCATCCACGCCATGCTGAGACAACTGTAACCGCGACGGAGCGGCCATCTGATGAAAATGGACGACGCTCGCCAACCAAAACAACTCTTCTAGGGAGATGTCGCCACGGGTACTCGCCGACCGGCAAGACCGGAACGATGCTACAAGGACACCTTGAAGAACTCTCTAAACCGATCGCAGATCAAGCCGGAGACCTGAGAGAACCTGGCCCAGAAGAGACCGGCTTGGAGGAGATAAGTGAAGACTGGCGCAGCCAATTTACAAGGCAGACCGGTTCGTCGCCGCCAAAACTAAAAAGGGATGCTCGAGAGTCTTAGGCGCCTGCGATTCGCAACATCGCCACTCAACCCCACCCAACGTGCCCGCGATGTCATCGAACACTTCGCGCGCGGGTCGGCCTCGTCAGTCGTCTCCAGATGCAATGCATCAATCGCCCGACGACCGCAATTGCTGCCTCCACGACCCCACCTGCTTAAATCTCGACGCGGTGTCCACCCTCACCAACGTTGCTTCGAATGCCCGTGTCAAACTGCCGTCAACCACTACCACCTTCATTACCCATGCCAAAATTGCCGCGGCGACGACGAACACAACCAAATCACCTGCTGAAAGGCAACCCGAACTACCGAAACATAATTTAACGGCTTACTGAAATGACTATAAATATACTACTGACGCGATTTCAATAGATCCTTTTATGTGCGTCAAACTTAACCCATATGGAAATTTTCACAGTCCGAAAGCGATGAACAAAGTTTTGCGCAATCATTTCGCGAATACCATACCCCTTTCGCATTTATGTTCCATTATTAGATTTTTGAATTCTCCTTACTAAAACTGCAAGCAAAAGTTTCGCAATGGACTTTTCAGGGCTTCTGTCGTTTACTCCAAATATACTGACCGATAGTGACTGATACCACCACTGTCAGCAACCAAAATGATTCTGACGCCCTGACAACCAACACATTCATCATCACCACCTCCGCCTCCGTCGATGTAGACTTGGTCCCAACCTATCCTCACTGCGACGCACATAAGCCTCACGCATCGGCCCGGTCGCTCACTTGTGAATCCATCGCACAGAGACTAGCGAGCTAGCGCCTGGAGAATCAACATAAACTCGCCGCATCCGCCCTTACTGTCTGCGCACACTCATTCACCGCATGGGCCTATTCGGTCACATGCGGAATACACTGCAGTAAGGGTACACCTAGCTCAACTTGCACATTCATTACCACCAGCACAACCATTTAACCATCGTCCAGCGCGCCCACCGTCAACAACAGCACCACCATCATCTTCCCCTAAACCGACTCTACAGCTCCTGCCCACACTGTCACCGCACTTTCACCTGACGTGTCGGCCTGGTCAGTCACAGTTACGATTCCATCGCAAACCAGTGCCTAGTGCACAAACGTACACCACCACACGCACTCGCCTCAATTGGCCGCATTGCCCCAGTGCGTTCAGACACCAAATGGGCTTTTTCGGCCACATACACATTCATGAAAACTCGCGAACACGACCAAATCACCACACATTCCCCTACCAACATATGCACCACGCATACAACACTCCAAAATCCTATAACACCGAAAGCACTCACGAAATTATGAAATGTGTGCCTAACGTGCATCTCATTTTAGTGTGGATCATCAACGATGGATGCCACGAGAAGACAGACAGTCCCGGAAGACTTAAATAAGCAGTCGCAGAGCGTTCACTTGCCTCAGCCTCAGAAGTGGCTGGGCGCTGGCCTGATAAAGTGGTCACATATAACAAGATCACAAGCCACAGCCGTATTATGACGAAGCAAACACTGTGCGTAGTCAAATAAGGCCTGCGCCGGCGTTCGACACAATCCCAGGCCATAAAGTGATGTGCTGGATGGGCGAATTGAAGGATTCCTATTTGAATGCGAGCACTACAGGAAATCATCTCAGCCAAGCCGCCCCGCTGAATCTCTGTCTAGGAAGGCACGGCTCAATCGGTTTACTGGACGAGCGAAGGGCCATGGTACGCGCCACTTGGCTGAAAGAGCATTGAACTGTTCAGCAACGTCAAGGACGACCCGCAGCGGCGTGAGTCGATGTGTCCGACGTCAGGGGCATTTGGCAAACTTCCCTTGGGCCAGTTTGAAGTATAGGAACTAGATCTACCCTGTAAGGCTAGTATGAGTATAGGGATGTGTTACCAGCGAAGAGGCGTGTGTATGGTGGTCTGAGGCCACCGAATACCGTCATGGCAACCACGCTCTAGGACGTTTTTAACAGATGCGGCAAACCAAAGTGCCACAATGCCAGCAGTCTGTCGCCTATAACGCATACACGCATGGGCCAAAAATGAACTTCCCCCCGCCCCGGCTGCGGTTACGCCGAAAGTGGACATTCAATCAGCGACCACATTGTCTTCATTGGATACTTTGCTGCCTGCTTTATCTCCCACCGGTGCACTGGGGAAGAAACTAAAAACGGAGAATGTCATTATTGTTGTTGTTAATGCTTGCCCTCAACAACAAAGAATTCCGTTCCTTGTCCTTGTTGTGCAATGGGTGAGCTCATGGATACCGCTAGGCTGCTATAAGAAGGACTATGGTTTGAAAATAAACTATTGTCTCGACTTTCTACTAGCCCGATGACGATGCCGTACTTGAAAGGTCCTTCGAAGAGGTGTAATTTGCCCTTCACCGCATGGTCACTGAATGTCGGACCTTAGGTCTATGCTAAACGCTGAGAACACCCAAAGGCTGCCGAAGGGCTTAATACCGCAGAAGTCTATATTCCTCGTTGTGAGTAGCATAAGGCTCTAGACGGTAGATTACCCAGTCAACCTTGGATCTTCCATGTTATCAACATGACATGGTCGGAGGCGAGCGAGGCAGTCAACTATCAGGAAGCAAGTTGTGCCGACGAGTCGAGTGCTCTCAGTCTTATAAGTCACTATCAAAGCCATCCTACCATTGCTGCTAGTACAACAACAAACACTACTGATACTCAGTTAACAGAGTGCCGACAAAGACAAGGGAGACTGAAGCGTCCATTTCTGACTTATTAGCCAGTCATACCCAATTCCGAGTGTGAACCACCTGGGATTCGAGCCCGAAATCCTTGGTCATTGAGTCCAACGCTCTACCAATGCACCGCGGGCTGGTTGTCCTGTCGGTTGTGATGAGAAATATTAATTATTTGTTGATGCCCCATTATTTGAATTATTACTAGCCGCTAGGCAATTGCCTGCAGGGCTCAACAGGACGAGCATGTCCCGTAACGTGATCTGCGAGCTCCACTTCACCAAAACTACTAATACTACTCCGATTGCTAAGACTGCGGAATGCCACTTGCGTACCGTGGCGACACAAAACAAGAGCATTCCGGTCCCGACTGACGGAGAGCGGAAGTCGCCCACTTAGGATTCGATGTAATTTTCTCATACGAGGTGGGTCCGCACACCCATCCCACTGGCTGAGGCTGAATCTGCCCACACCCTCATGTCGCTCGATAACCCCCCCCCCGCATTATTGTCGTCGCCGTGGTGACAGGGTGGAAATGAAAACGAACTGACGTCCTGAGGCCATACCTGATACAGATAGTGCGCCAGATGGTCGTTGGCATTTGAGGATCGAGCGTAAAGTGAGAGGTCACAGAGGGCCGGCTTGTCTGCATAATCCCCTGGACGAATGAAACTCTACAGGGTAAATAACTCCCACACGCACCACGGGGGCTATTTGAAGGAGGCCCACTGAATAGTTTAGCTACTGGGTAACAGAGCAAGTATAGATTAGTTTGATTCAGTGTCGTCAAGGCAGCACATCCCCAATTTACGAAAATAGGTAACTTCTGGTTCTTTGTACCTACCGAGGGATGAATGACCAGATAGGCACCACAGTCTACGTCTTTTATCAACAGCCGCACGACTCGTCGATTTCAAAGCGCGGGCTGCTTGCGCCCTAGCCTCCTTATGTTGGTTCTCCGCCCCTCATACAATACTGCTGCTGTCGACAATTATACACTACCAACTGCGATGTTGTAGGCGTATCGGCCTAGGTGTGGTATAATCCTCCCTGCTAGACTTTCCTTCTCATCCGAGGTCCAGCTTAGGATGTCCGAAACGGGGCGCATGCGAAGGAATAATAAAGGGAATCACATACTAAAAAGTAATGTCATGAGGGTGTTAGCCAAATCCAGATTCGTTGTGTGCGGATCAGGCGTGTTTGGTGTGCGCAAACCGGCTGTTTGGCCCGATCTGGTCTCCGATCTTCTTGACTGACGCCCGGCTCAGGGAGGAGAGAGTGAGACAGGTGCAGTGCAAGTCCGCTGCCAGTGTAAGCTAATTCACGTGAAATCCATCGTACCTACGCTCGATATGCTGCGCGGCACAAGGTGGACATCGTCGTTCATGACAATCGAACTGTCAAAACTCAAAAAAATCTAGAAGTGTCGCCGAGAACGATAAAGAGCGTAAAACCGACAGATCTCGCATACATTCTGTCTCCGGTTTCTCGTTATGCATTTCCAGGCCGAAAGGACGTAAGAGTTAAACCCCGGCTGCTTGACCAGACCATTTGACTCAGAAGTTCTAACAGCTAAGCCATGGGCCCACGTCCTCGCAGTCATCATCGGGGATCACTGAGCTACTCCAGCTGGAAGGGGAAAACTGAGCTCACCGCTTCGCTTTAGCGACTCTGGGTCTAGTGGCCTTACAGGCAGATGAGATGCTGCGTAATAGATAAATTGCCGAATGTAAATGTTAACTGACCGAATGATCCCAATTGGAACCTCGGGTACTTCCGACCTGGATCTTAAGTATGTGGTTGTTTAGTGATGAAAAATCAGTCGAAACTAGCAATTCTACTAAACCCAACTATAATCCTTGGCTCCGCAAAAGAGCGCACGATTTAAAATAGGACTAAGGTGTGGGCAATATTATTGTAAAAGGAAATAACATGTTTTGTTCCTGGAGAAATACAATTCTATGAGGGTCAAAGGTTGTTGGGTGTAGGGCAAGCGGTAAAGAGGGGGGTGGAGTAGAGGGCGCCAGCGCTACCGTCCCAATCGACGTCGGGATGCCGCAAGTCGCCTATTGAGTCGCTCGCGTGACTCCCTGGCACCCTGACGCGCCAGGTTTCTCAACCGGTCCTCCTCAGCAATGGGGGGAACTTTTCCACGGGCTCGGAGGGCCCTAACTGTTACGGGAGTTAACCAGACTGTGAGGCCGTATCTGAGAGGTGCGGCCACCTTGTAGAGGACAAGAGCAGTGGCCCAAAGTCCAACACTTTCACCAGCCGACCGCAGGGGATTCAGCATCCAGTCGGGTGCGTGCAACGCCGTCAGCACCTCAACGATATTGAAGCCACTAGGGAGTGAGCGAAAAAGCGTTTTAGTCAGCCGGCAGGCTCATCTTGACCCACAGGAAGTATTTAGTCCGTAGATTAAGAAGGCTTTTACGAGGTTACGGCATTACATCTACTGATGACGGCGAATATAAGAATGATGAGTAAACGGCAACTACCAGCCCAAATGTCAAAATGCGAAACAACAGGCTACCTGGAACAATGTCTGATTAAGAAAAGTGTAGCTTTGTTCCTGCGACGCTTCCCTTTTGTTGGACGACCGGTAGCACCCCGCATTCCAGAAAGATCACGAACAAAAGCGCCGAGGCTGGGGCTTGGCGTCATAAACGTTATTTTAGACTAACATTGCTTAACATTCTTGTTCCTTCCGCTGATGGCCTGCGTAGAACAGAACCCTCGTCATTTACCCCATATCTCGGCTTTCGATAGCAAAAAAGAAAATGGATTCATCCCCGATCTAACTAACGTAATGCGGTGGGTTGCGTACCCGCGAGGAGGCGCCATCACCGTGAGACAAGGGAGGGGGGGGTGAGATGTTGAACGCTGGACTGACCGCGGCCTTGTCTCCTGGAAAGTGAAATCGCAGGTCGAGCCGCGGAGACGATCTCAAGAGGAAACAGCATCAACGGACCTGAACACAATAGCACCGGCTGAACGCAGGTGGGAACTCCCAAACAAAAAGAACACCAGATTTGGCCACGTACATATGTTGGGTAGAAATGACAGTCGCCTGAATGCCATCTCTATCGCTGCCGTTAAGGTCATGCAAACTGTTCACTGAACATCCCACAGGGGATTTGGTGGGAACGGCGAAGAAGAAAACAAATTAACCTGAACGCCAGCACACTCTAAATACAGATTCTTACCTTCCGTGTTATCGTTACTTACATCAAAGTCTTACAAAACATAACAGAATGTGTGCCACTAAGGAGTCTAAATAAACGCGTCTTACTGGAAGTGTTCAGAACGCCACCGCAGAAGCCATGACCAATCAGCTTTACCTGAAGTGACAATCCTACGGTGAAGTGCGTAAAGATTGCCTATGTATTTGATAGGTGGTGTGGTAGCGAATGCAGCTAACAGTTAAAAAGTCGTCTAACAGTTTCATTGCGGCCGGAGAGAGAAGACCAGTTTACGCCGTTTTCCAAAGCTTTGTTGCTGATCTCTTTTTGACGGAGGTATATGCATAAATGATCTCACGCAGGTAAAGGAAAGGCAACCACGAGTGGATCATATGCCAGATATGTGATCATCATGTTCACTATGGATGGGCTTTTAGAAGCGGCAGGTGCCACACTCATGTCTTTCAACTTCGCAAGTCAGCGGTAGATAGGTGAAATACCTTGATGTTTTTATTCTAAGCGGCTCCAACGATGCCTAATCTGGCTGGCTCCGCTTTTATGAAATACCCTGCCAACTTTCCAAAGAGATGAGTCCCCGACGGTGTCCAGACTGTTCTTATATGCTGTTTCCGCTGGCGCTTTGAATCCCGGAGGGTACTGGCTGCAAAAGAACCCATTTACAGGTGGTTCACGGTCATCAGATTACAGTACTGTCCGGGGCTTTGAGTAATTTTAGAAGGCAGCTGACGTGCCAGACCTCAACCTTCTACACGCCCTGGTACTACTCCAACTGTTAATTTGTGAGCTTCGTAATGCGATCGGTGAGCGCCCCTCTACCATTGTATATACCCGATCGAAACCGCCAGGACAACGAGCCCGTGGCTCAGTAGATGGGGTATTGGACTTTTAACAAGCGGGTTGCAGGATCGAGCCCCAGGGGTTACGCACCTCAGGGTTGAGTATGGTTGGCTGACGACGGCGATAAGGCAGAAACGGCCATTCTAGTCTCCCTTGTCTTTGTTGGTAATGCCCTTCTGCCCATATCACGCGCCGCTGTGTGGCCGCTGGCGGGCTCAAGAAGAAACCCTTAAGGCACAACGAAACGAGTGAGCCCCGTAACGCGATCGGCGAGCGCTCCTCTACCAATGCTTCTTTTGCACACCTTTGAGTCGGCTCGTTTTGTGGCTAACCCTCACTGTAAGGTTATTCAACTGTCAGCCATCCGTGGACGTGACGGACAGTTCACAGTCGGCTGCCCGACCTCTCCACGGATGGTGGAACGACCGCGCCTACCTCTGGTCCTGAAATTATCGGAACAAGGGGGTGGGAGAGGGGAAAGTGCTGTGGGTACTGGGTGGGCCTTCACACGCAAGTCGCCGCCGCTGCGGCCACTCCTTGGGGCACATGGTGAACGTCGTTAACTGTGACGGTGCAACTGTCGGATAAGGGGATCGACCTTCAGCCAGAGCTAACTGAAAAACAAGTCAACTCTGGCGCCTGGTGAATTAGCATTCGCTGACCACGCGGCGGCGGCGGCGGCGGCGGCGGCAACATCACCATACGCAGCTCAGATCAGCGACCAATGCAAAGAAGCTGCAAGCCACACGGCGGTATTATGACAGTGACTGTTGCTCTCCATCCAACAGGGTCTCTCGCGCACTTGTCAGATTCGATTCACGCGCCAGGGCCTTTGCTTGAAACAGGGGGTGGCGCTGGGTTGCTTGCCTGTACCGTGTCTCAGTGCACAACTCAGGTTAGGTCGTCCACGGAAATGGCGCTTGGGAGGCTCAGTAAGCAGGCAAGATATCCACATTTAAAAAGAAACCGGAAAAAACCGTATTGCCTGTTGGGGCCTGTGCGCTCTCAGTGACAGTGTACAACCACTGGAACGCCGATATCCACACAGCGTGTCTGTTGGGAACCCTGTTACTCGCGGTCGACACAAGAGCAGCCAACCGGAAGACGGGTTGCCCGAAAAGCTAACTGCTGGTTACCCGGCGAGTCGATAGAAGAACGGCTTTCAGCGAAGGTTAGCTGTGAAAAAAAGCAGGCATTCGGGGCTGAGGGATAAGGAGTCAGGGATCAGCAGTGACACTACCACCAGGACATGGAGGACGGTGGTCTGGCAGGCCGAATGCCTTCTAAAGTACGGCAAAACCCGATGACGACACTGTGACATGGCGACCGTAAACCGCCATTAAACAAGTTTTCTTATTATCGGTGCCTTATGGTTCTTGAGCCAAAGCGCTGGAGAGGACAACCTAGAAAAAACAATTCGAGCGGCTGTTGGAGACCCGCCTGTACCCAAAATCCTCAAGAAACATCACGAAAGTGTCCGACTACAGTATTATGATCAATGCTACGGCGTCTGCTGAAACCGGCGCGCTCCGCAACCCTCATTTAGTAGTGCGGGTGGACGGTATGCGAACTGGACTATTCAACCCGGAACGGACTCTCGGCAGAAGATGCTAAAATATACGTTTTTGGACCCTGGCACCAAAAGACTGACGGCGCGCAGTTTTCATGAGTACAATGTGGGTGTCTGTCGCATGTCTAAAGTCCGAATCCCAGAATTCGGCGCAAGGGTAGCAAAGATCCTTAGAGTCAAGTCTCACTGCACCCTGTACCACCGCGGCCAACGGAACTCTCCTGGTAGACACGGTGTAACTATCGCCCTCTCAGAACAAACCTTGCTCTTCCTGCATGTGAATCAGTCAATGACGCACACCCCTGTCGTCTCCGCGTACGCACTAACACCTACTCGCAGCTGCAGGAGTTCGCTGAAAGACTCCCGGAGGCTGGAATGACCGGACTGGATCCGGCGACTCTTTTAACAGTCGCCTTATTGGCCGTTTCGCGTATGGCTCTCAATGCAACGACGGTGAGATACTGAATTTTGCTTATCAGAACCGACTGTTTTTCACCAACACGTGTTTCCGTCATCGCCACAAGCATCTGCTGGCTTGGCATTTCAACAACAGCCATACGGCCGATCAGACCGACAAAAAAGTCCAAGTTGGTTCAACGTTCGGGGGCTGGGTTGACGATAGCAGATCGATGTGTGGTGCTGAAACTGGTAACACCCATGTTCTCTTTCACACACACGCCTCTCATCTGTTCCCAAAATACCACGTGCGAGACGCCTTGATATTGCGAGACTTCGACAACCCATCTCTGCCGAGGCCCTAAGCACTCAAATCCGGTCCCGTTTTGTGACGCGAGTCGGCAGACAGGGCAGTGGCAGATGATCATCACGGAAGCCATCAGTCCACATGATAGCGACATTGCGATGACTTGACCAGAGGAAGAACCCTGCAGTCGTCTGCCCAGACGGCTCGAGTCAGGTCCCACAACGACGCTTCCTTCCATCAACTCCGGAAAATGACAGCAAAGCCGGCTATGGATGATCGGTAGGCATACTTGGCTGAAACAGCGATCTTCGTGGAGCAGGCCTCAAACGTCGGTGACGCCAGAAAACTAGCAAATTACTCACAAAGTTCGTTGCAAGCCCTCAACACTTAGTGACTCTGTTCGCAATGTGAATGGCGGCCTTACTGCTGACAACTATGCCAAGGTCGATAGCCGGCGTGAGCACTGAGAGCACCTCAACTTTTATGAGCAACCCATCACACCTTCGCTCTCCTATGTCACAGAATTGTAGCCTTCTCCAACTTATGAAGTGTCTTGAAACCCACTATTCTGAGGGGGAAGTTGGCGATGGAATACGGAGGCTGCACAACTACAAGGCGCCTGAAGAGAACGGTGTTCCTGTTGAGATCTACAGGTCTTGTGTCGGTGCTCTTGAGATCTGGTTCCATCAGGTGATTGAACGAGCCTGAATAGATGGGGTAGTTCCTAATGACCGGGCCTCAGACATCGTTGTGCCTGTCTGAAGAAGAGAAATGATACAAACTGCGAGAACTACCACGGCATAAGCCTAATCGACGTTTCCGCGAAGGTCTTCACTTTTCTGCTTCTCAGACGATTCTAGTCTGTGCGGAACTCTAGGACAAGGCCCAACCAAGCCGGATTCCAAGTTTGGTGTGGATGCGCGGACCAGATATCCACACTGAGGCGCATTCTGGGATTCCGCTATGGCTACCAGCAACCGAAGGCTGTCTGCCTTGTTGACTGCGCCTTATTGTTCGATTGCATTCATCGCGAGTCTCTGTGGCGAATAATTGGAATTTATGGTGTGTTGGCGAAAATCATCGTCATGATAAAAGCATTCCATCGCTCCACCACTGCGCGACTTCTGGTTCATAACGATCTCTCCCAACCGTTCAATGTCCTATTTGATGTTCCACAAGGATGCATCCTGTCACACATTCTGTTAAACATCGCAATTGACTGGCACCCCAGAAGGGCCCTACACGGCTTTGAAGGTGTGGTCTTTGTACCAGGATGCCAGCTGACTGGCCTAGACTACGCTCACGATATCGCCTTACACGTCACAAGTTTTGAGGATCTACTGCGTTACCACGGGGGAATGAAGTCATTACTTCGGACGGTTCATACGTAAACGGTGGGAAGACCAAATTGTATTTTATTACCGACAAAGACAAGGAAGACTGGAATGGTCATTTCTGGCTTATTGGTCGTCGTCAGCCAGTCATATCCAATCTCGAAGTGTGGAACACTCGAGGCTTGAACTCGCGACCTGCTAGTTAAAAGTCCACGCCTCTAACCACTGGGCCACGAGCCCATTGCCCTGTCAGTTTTCGATCGGAAATATACAATGGAATCGGAGTGAGATCATTCTGAAGAACTTGCTGCGAGGCTTTTTTCAAAACAAGCCTTCCATACGAATGAGCTATACGGTCCGTGCAGTAGAAGGCAGTGCTTGTGACCCATTGTCCGAATCTGTATCCCTGATCGTGTCTTTAAATAACAACTACATAGGCAGTCAAAAATAGAACCGGTCGACCGCGACCTCTTAATTGCCAAATCAGATCACTCAGCCAAGTGATGCACTAAGCTGGACGCGAAACCGCTCAAGCCGTTATCTCAATCAAACTCAGGCCGCGACTGGTGAAAATGAGGCGGCGAAATTAAACTGTGGATGGACGCAGCGACAGCTTGTCTCAAGAACATCTCTGGCATTGTGGTCAGCGGGGCTGACGCGTCAAATGACACAGCTTGGCTTGGGAGTAATTTGGCGACCGATTTCAACCGTCCGTGATGCGACGAACCTGCGGCACTGAGCGCGCCGAATCAATCATGATTGCTGCGTCATAAGCACAAATAACGTTAGTCGAAAGCACACACTTCTCAGCGGTCTTCTGCCCACACAATCCAGCATCCACACCAGTGGAGGGCTGAAAGATATGCGTTAATTTCTTTCAATGATTAAAGCATCGAGACAAGTTCACAAGCATGTATATCTACGCCCTGCTAACAATAATTATTGTGGCGGCTGTGTAGTCCTTACTGAGCTTCGAGATATTTGCAACTGTTCACCCCAGTCAGCTGAAAATCACCAATCATGTGTTGGTGGGCAAACCAACCGAATTAGCGACCTCGCTCACTAGAGACTGCACTCCGCCAAAGGTGACGTGCTAAGCGTGGCCAATGTCTGTCAACTGCGTTTAGGTACAAGCGTAAAGCTGACGGAGGAGCCTACTCCCGGGGTCATCGAAATTACAATCTAAGAATGCCCTGATAAATAGGACAACATTGGCGTTCCAATCAGTTAAAGATCAGACGACACTTCACAGAAGTGCTGACTCTAATCTGTATGGGCGATAAAATGAATGGGACGTTTGAATTATTAGGTCTCGTCGTTTGAGTTTTTGCCGCCGATAAAAACACAGCTATAAAGTAGCATAGTAAATAATAGCCAACTCTAAAACAAAGTTATTCCGGCATGCATTCTTGTGCTGGGGCGCAGCACGATGTCGATATCACTTTGTTGGCGAATCACCGCACTTCAGTCAGTGAGAAATCGTGGAGGAAATATGAGAACTTTTGGAAGAAAATGAGCATCGCATAGAGGGACCGACATTGCATCGACAGCGCTGAGAAAAACCACGGATTTAATCCTCTACAGAGGAAGTCATGGCAGACGGTAGCGACTGGGCAACAAGAAAACAGGTTCGTGGCCCGAATGAGTGCAGTTTCGTGAGTAATCACTGCAGATTTTCCATTGGAACGGTAAATGGCAATCACAAAATGTGAAGACGCGGAAATCGTCCCTTACTTGGCACCACTGGCTGATGCCTCAGAGGCCAATTGGTGTTTTAAATGTTTGTTGTTATCTTTTAAGATAAGCTATGATGCGGAATTTTGGGCAGGCATGAACAACGGATAGGCGCGTTAACCAGCTGACTCCGTAGAGCCACTTTGGACTTTCGATGAACGAAAAACAGTCAAGAGGCTTTCGTATGGAGGACTCAGGTAATTAGATGGCATTAACAGCTCGGAAGCCACAGTGAAAAATGAGGAATAAATTCTGAGCAATATTCGTACTGATTTCAATTATTTCAAAAAAAACTTGATTGATTTCAATTTTTAAGCTCCTCAGAAATTAATTGCTAGCTTGAAATAAATCGACTGAAATCAAGCTTTATCTGCTCAGTCCGGAAGTTGATATAATAAGATGGGTCCGAATTCATCAGCTACAGCAGAATAGCCGTTTAATACACGTAAACTGCCAATAGGCTGCCATAAATATGTATATACTGGAAAATTTGCTGTACTGACAGCACCGATACTAGCTGAAAGTCCCGGCACGTGTTTTAATTTGTGTGCGCACTAACTTTCGAAAGCTTGGTCAGCACTACAAAAACGCTTGGAAAGCACTGACAACCCAAATCGGCAGAACAGAGGCCGGTGAAATCTATTACTTGAAGCCTGATATAAAAGCAGTGTAAGTCAAAAGGAAACGGAAGTTGATCAAAAAAACACTTACGTTAGGGCTATGCAGTAGAAGGCCCCCAGCCAAGCTGCTGAAGTGACCCCATGTACTACTATTAGAACCTTGCCGTAAACCTTGTAGGCCTGCTTGAACCGCTGAATTAGTGTTGGCTTCTCCGTTGATGGTGCCTCCTGGCTTTTCTGCTCTTGTGGAGTGGCCGGTTTCTCCTCTGACGAGTTCGTGATGCTGCGTCGGGGAATAAAGGATGGCTGATAGAAGCTGTGGTGCGCATATAAAATACTGTTTCGCGATCCCTCGGCCAGCAAAAGTGGTGAGGATAGCGTACGCGCGTTTAATGTTACGCAACCTGAGAAGCTGCTCCTGAGGGCGATCAAACTCCGAAGAGTTGACTTTGTGATTATCGACATGTTCACTGGGATAAGGAACGTTGGTGCGTAAAATGGAATCCGGTCCTCGCAGAAGCCCGTTTCTCTAGAAAATTAGAAAGTCATTAGGCAGTTCACGAAGTCATCTTTCCGCACAGACGTCGGTAAAGGTAAGACAAAAACCCTCGAAATACGACATGTTATGGTTTCTAGACATCATGCAAATAAGATAAAACAGAAAAGTCCAAGAAGGGAGATGGTAAATCGCGGTGACGCCAGTTAAAAACTGAATAAGAGTGCAGTAAGTTAAAAAAACGAGTTCCATTTGCAGTCATAATGTGGTCCTCTTGCCAGGAGGTGCACAAATGCCCTTTGATTGCAGGTACGTAGCTCCCGATAAAGGAGTACCGTCAGTGCCTTATTTACAAAAGTACAACAAGCTCAGATAGTTTTGCACCACTGTGTCAAGACCTCGCTAGATCCTTGCCACAAACTATTCGCCGACAGACTACCTCGAAGTGGCATTAGTTCTTGATCGCTATACTCGGCACTTATGCCCTGAATCAGGCTGCGGACAGCAATGATGACAATGCCTCGTTACTTCGCTCATTCCAGTTAAAATATAGTTGAAATCAACACTAGAGATGAAGTTGGATAGCACATCGCGACCCGTAAGTGGTAAAGGCCATCTGACGTTTATGGAGATCCAATTTTCTAACCCATCGAGTGCAAGTGAGTTTTGGGCAAGTGCAGCAGATGTGGCCGGAGGGCAAACTGTCCGCTCACAAATGCGACGACTTGTGGGACAACTACGGAATTCGAGATACCAGTATTTTATGCCTCAAAAGCGTCGAAAATACACATAAGTTGGGAGCAATAGAAGACAGAGAACCAAGATTAAGCATTACTCGAAATTGAGTAATGCTTAAGATAGCTTAAAGTTTGGTTTCGGCAGTAGCCAAGGTAGGAGAAACAATGTTACTGCGCACTCGTATTCGGTCGGAGGAAAAACGTTTGAGAGCACAGAGCAAAAGGAACAAAAAGTCACGACCTATTCCATACATGCATAGTCCAACCGCGTTCTTCTCTAAGGAGGGGTACGATATGGATGAACGCGTAAGAGGCCGAGCAAAAGGGGACGGGAAGTAAAGAATAACCCCAGACTGAGATGTTCATTTTAAATTTTGTACACAGAAAATCGAACTGGTGTACCAGTCGTATATTAACAGACCGTATATACGGTCTACATCAGTGGCTACCTTAAAGGTAGCCACTGATGGTTGCAGATCATCCGAAGAAGGCGACCCAGGATTTCCGGTTCAAGGGCTTTATTGTGACCAGGTCAAGGCAGCTTGTTCATTATCCATGAGGTTAACCGTCTACTACTTAGACCGTCACCAAAACTGCGAATTCAGAAGTCCAGTTGAGACAATTGATTAGATCTCGGCATCTATACAGGTTATGTTTTTGTAATGCGATATTACGGCAGAACAAGTGGTTTCCGTATCTTTTTTCCGTACATAAGACGGACGCAAGACCACACCCGAAAACAACGCCTGCAGTCAAAGGACGCGCAAACGCGAGCAGCCGACTTAAAAACAACAGCCAATGTGATAGGTCAGTCAGTCCGCGTATTTGAGGGAAATAAGCTTACGACCAATAAGCGAAATGTAAAGAAATTACAGCATTGAATGAATGCAGACATTGATTCACATATGTCACTGGTCTCATGGCTAAAAAGTCATATAGTCCGCTTGTTGCTGCAGCATATAACTGTCAAGCCGACATTTAACCGGCTCCTCAGATTCAGACATGACAATTATCTCGGGCAGATTATTCCACGGTTCCACAACACGGTTGGAGAAGAAATATTTTCTCACACTTAAACTACCCTGGGGCACACGTAGCTTGATGGGGGGTCCCCGGAGGTTAGTTGTTGTGGCGAAATGGAAAAAGTCATCGCACCGAAGGGCGCAGTCCAAGCCACGCACGATACGGAAAGTTTGTATCAGGTCTCCGTGCCACTGCCTATAACTCAGAGGATAGAGACTAAGGTTAGTTAAACGGCTCTCGAATGGCAGTGCACTTTGAGATCTTATTAATTTTGTTGCTCGCCTCTGCGCCCTTTCAAGCAGATTGTAAGCCTGCTGTGTCCAAGACCTCCAGGCCTGAATTGCATATTCCAGATGCGGCCTTACAAACGTGTCGAAGACTTTGGATAAGCAGTCTTCCTCTAAAACTGCGAATACCCGCTTGATGGCATATAGCATCGAAGTTGCGGCCTCGGGCGCCTTACAACGTTGTGTAGAAGGCGTTCGGTTGTCTGCAACTAAGACTCCAAGATCTTTCTGCGTTTCTGCTTCTCGGAGTAACAGTCCGTTCACATGATATTGCCGCGTACTGGGGGTCTGTTTTTGGAGGCTTAGTATGGTACATTTGTTCAAATTGAAGGACAAGAGCCGTCTGCGGGACCACTCGTCCAATCAGCAAACATTTTTTTGGAAGTTGATCTCATCAGCAGAATTCTGGATGACTTTCCGGATTTTAATGTCATTCGCAAACATGGCACTGTCACCGTCTAACCCATCTACACAATCATTGATGAACAAGAGAAAGAGGGTTGGTCCGAGCACCGAGCCTTGTGGGACTCCACTCTTTATGAATGTGCGCCTTGATTGCTGTTGTTCTACGCAGACAATTTTGGAGCGGCCGACGAGGAAATTCTCGGTCCATTTGAGAAGTTTGTCGCCGCGATCCATAATTATCAACTTGTGCAGAAGACGCTGGTGCGGAACACTGTGGAACGCCTTCCGGAAATCAATATAGGCCACATGCACAGTGTGCTTTGCGTCCAATGATCATGTCCAACTTTGCATTGTATATAGCAAGTTCGTTACACATGATCTTCCCCTACGGGAACCATGTTGTGCATTGGACAAGAGGCTGTGGCTTTCCAGATAAGCCATCAACTCCTTTTTTATGTTTTTCTCTATCACTTTGCAGCAGATTGATGTCAGACTGACGGGTCTGTAGTTCGTTGAAAGAGCACGACTACCGCTTTTGTAAAGGGGTGTAATGTGGGCCGTCTTCCAGTCTGTGGGAGGGATTCCAGAATCAAACGGTTTCTGGGACAGAAGGGATAGTGATTTGGCCAGCTGTTGGGCGAGCTCGAAGAGCAGCTTTGCTGGGATCTCGTTCGAACCGGGAGATTTACATTTCTTCAAGCTTTTTAGTTCTTCCAAAATCCCTTCTTCTCGAAACACAATATTTTCGATAGTGAGATCTCACATGTTCTTAGAACTAAATAGAATAAAGATTGCTTCTTCTGTGAAAACAGATTGAAAAAACTGAAAGAAATGCTCAGCTTTATTTGTACTGTCCGATATCTCCAAACCGTCATCCTTTCTCATGAAATGAATGGGATTCCTATTACGTGTGCTCTTCCACAAATAGCTGCAGAGCAATTTCGGATTTTCAACGGCTCGGTGGAGCAAATTACTCTCGATATCCAGTCGTCTCTTGAAAATCCGGATTTTCGCCCTATTTCTTTGAACTTTATACCCTGTAAGCGCTGCATTCTTGTTGGCTTGTGTTCCAAAACCCTCCTTTCTTGTTGATCTCTTTTTGAGTTCTCGCGTTAGCCTCTGAGGGCGGTTAAATGTCCTAGGCTTTGCTAATTGACAGTGGCTCTTCATTAGATGCAGCAAAAGATCCTTGAATAAATTTTAGTCGTCATTAACGTTTCCGGAGAAGAGAATATCCCAGTTTATTTCTGATGCCTAAGCTCTCATTTGGCAAAAGGCCCCTTTCCATATATTCGGCCTCGTTTCGTCTTTTATATATGGTTCAGAATACAGCTCGTACTTCCATAAAAGTACCGCATGATCACTTTCACCCAGCGGGGGTAGGTAGTATACCTCATCTATACTGTCAGGATCTTTGGTGCAGACGAGGTCCAGACAACTGGCGTATTGCCCTGCACACGCTCTAGTTGGAAATAGGACACGTTGCGTGAGAAGAGCTTCTAGGGTTGTCTTCAGTAGACGGTACTCGAAAGCATTATCCGAGCACTTCGTATGCATATCGCTCCATTGAATGCAGGGTGCATTAAAATTCCCCATGAGAACAACGTCTGGTCGACTGGCAATCTCTTTTATGCTTTTCAGTAAACAGTTATCTGGGTCGGGATCCGCCTGCGGGGGCCGGTAGACAGTTACGATTTCGAGGGACTGAGACCCCATGCCTTTATAGTCAGCCAAATTGTCTCTGTGTCGTCAGAAATCTTGACGGTCCTCTCACACACCGTTTAGTTGCTCTTCACATACATGGCAACTCCTCCACCCCAGCGGCTTCCCCTATCTCTCCTAAACAATTGGTATCCTGTTAGTGTTACCCCACAATTATCTACGTTCCCTGACAGCCACGTTTCTGTTACTGTTTTAACATCTGGAGGAGTATCGGTTACCTGTAATCTCAGTTCGTCAAGCTTGGAAAACAGACTGTAAACATTGGTGTAAAGGAATTTAAGTTTGCAACATTCGAGATTACTTCGTTCGGTTTGTCTCGGGTTTGCCAATATTATGTTGCTGTCGCCATCATGATGACTGTTTGGTTCCAAAGCAACATCGCATTCATCTGTATCACTCGTCCCCTGAAAATAGCCAAGTTCCTCTCTCCGCTGCAAGTGTCCTCTTCAGCTCCGTCACTAATTAGCGGAGTTTCAAACGTTCTGCTGAAGAATAGCCCGCCTGAAAAACTTCCTTGTGAGAGTTTCGGAGGCTGCTTTTCCAGGACACAAGTAAGCTATCCTCCCCTATACTGCGTAAAACAATTTTCACAGTTCGTGCCGGCAGAGTTTCCGATTCCGAAGGCTGCGCGAATGGTTACATTTTCACTCGAATTAAACATTTTGTTCAGTAGGTTTTGAAGCATATCAAGGTCAGCGGAAATCCTCTATTTCGGGGTAGGAGCATTCGACTCCGATAGACCCTGGACGACTACGCAATGCTGACGATCAAGGGGTTCGTTTGTTCTGTTTATGCCGGCCTTGGCAGCTGAAGGTCTTAGGTGATTTACCGGAGTCGTCTGGGGTTTTATACTCCTGTTGTGGTGCTTACACATTCCACCTTGCCACGAGCTTGCTTCCTCAATTCCAACCAAGGGTTCTACTGAACACGCGGAATGGCTGAGAGAAGTTGATGGTTCGATTCGGGTGTCTTCCATAGAAACAAGAGACTCCGTTTCTATTTTCTCATCTTCATGGGTATCGGCGTCCTTGCAGTGAGGTTTTTCACAAACTGTGTTCTTTGCCTGTTTTGGAGTTTTGCTCTTTCCCTTGTCTTGCTAACTCTAGCGCTGTCAACCGCGTCTTGCCCACCACCTTTCGCTTGCACGAGTTCCCTTAAAGTAGCCAACTTTTTTCGAGTTTTTGGACTTTCAGCAGAATATATGAGCATCCAATGCACCACTCGTCTTCGTAACCAACAGATTTTGCTGTGATTGCGCTTTAAGCACGCTTTGCGGGCCCCCATTTGTAACTATAGATAGGACGAGCGCTAATCCTAGGTGGCAAGGCCATCTCAATAGACTTTTTTTCATACATAGTGCCGGTCCTGGTCGTGAAACTACCAAAAAGTTCCTCTGTGTCTATGAACTTCGTGTATTCGTAAGTGTGTAGTGGCTTTCGAGATTCAAACAGGTAATTACAACTGTATACGATGGAGTATGGCAAATATTCAAAACCAAATGGTCAAAAATACGCGTATTTTTTAAAAAGTCGCTGTAGAGAAAAAATATGAACGGCATGAAATATGTGTAGGAGCTACTCAGCCGTGTTGAGAACGTCGAAGGGCCTGAATATCTCCTGATCTTCGTAGATTTCAACGATTCGTTTTCCTAGGCCGATATCTGCGCGCGAATGCACTCCGTAGTTCGTTGGCTTTTGGTGAAAAACAAATTCCGCTCATAGACAGACTTCTGATAAATTTTCATGCGGGAAAAAATTTCTAGAGACGGAGAAAGTACGTTCAGTTCCAGCGGCAACCTCAGAGACAGTAACTGTGAAATGGTATGTGCGTCAAAGTGGTCCCAGTTGGTGTGCAGAAAATGTCGTTGTGCTCAGTCTACTTCAACTAAACGATTTCAATCAAGGTAGAAATAGTTCGGTAATCAGAGACTAGTAACATGTAGCTTCTCCTCACAAGTGGTGGTTCAGCTCCGTTTATTGAAGAGCATTGACGTAAATCTTCGTGTGCCGGATTTACAACACGATATTGCATTCAGGTGACGGAG